GTCCAAACTCCCCAGGCTTGGATCCACGACGCCCTCTGGTGGGCAAAGTCCCGGATCCTGACAGTACCCCCCCCTCAAGGGCGGATTCCAGACGCCCCAAAGAAAACAAAAAAAATAACTCGCCCATGGAGGGCGAAGGGCGAACCAGGGATGCCAGAAAAAGTCTCAGGTGGCCGGCCATGAAACCGGCAACAGAGCAGAGTCTCAAAAGCTGCAGGGCCTTGGAAGAGGGCGTCAACTCCGCTTCAACAGGAAGCACCGGGAGAAACTCTGTCTCCGCTTCCGCATGAAGCCCCGGGAAGGACGCCGTCTCCGCTCCCGCAGCTTTGCAACAGGTCCGCCCAATACCGCTCCGCCTCAGGAACAGAGGAATCCACCGAATGTGGCTCCACCTCAAGGAACCGAGGGATCACCGATTGTGGTTCCACCTCAAGGAACCGAGGGATCCACCGATTGTGGATCCACCTCAATGAACCGAGGGATCCACCGATTGTGGCTCCACCTCCGAAGGCTCTGGAAGGCGCAGAACAGGCTCAGGGGTCTCTCAGACGGCACAGAGCGGGCTCAAGGGTCTCCCAGACGACGCAGAGCGAGCTCAGGGGTCTCCTAGACGGCACAGAGCGAGCTCAGGGTTTTCCAGACGGCACAGAGCGCGTAGAAGGAGTCTGCGGGGCTAGTCTGTTGGCTGGATCATTCTGTCATGATGCGTTGGTTTTACTAGCCCATATGCAGACTCACAGACACGGAGGGAGGAATAAAAGTCCAATATTTATTGGAACACGGAGGAATCTACAGGTTCAAAGCTCAGACAGGCATGATGGCACAGGTAAGACACACGATCCAGCACAGAGAGATATTCACACACAGCTTATATAGGAAACTTCCGCAATCAGCAGACTGGAAACAGCTGATCAAGCTGCGTCCAAACTCCCCAGGCTTGGATCCACGACGCCCTCTGGTGGGCAAAGTCCCGGATCCTGACAGAAATAACTGTAGGTCCAAAGCAAAGGGTCTGGGAGGCTGGGGATTTGCTATAAATTAAACAATCATTCCAGCCACTAAATAAGGTAAACATGCCCACTGTTTTATTAAATATCAGCAAAGGAATAATATATGAGGCTATGGAATAACTTGATTTCAGGAAATAAGTGCAGCACAAAACTCTGATAGGATGGCAAAATCATCAGCCAAAATTAAATATTATTCTTTACTGAACACCAAATTAGTGAAAATAATAGTTTTACCTGCATAAATAAATCAGGACTGAAAAAAGTAAGCTAGATATTTCTAGTTCAATTTCTTGTGCAGCTAAATGGGGGGAAAATTGACCTCTGGATGTCCTAAAAAAAGAATCTTTATTATCTCTGATATCTCTGAAACCATATTAAATGTACAAACCAAATCTGCATCTGAAATGCAGAGCTTTAAACTCCCTGGGGGTGCTCATGGAAATCACAGTGGACACTGCGTTCGCTTTGAACGCACCATAAGGCCTGCTGTTATGTGGTTATTAGCTTAGTAAACGGTAGTAAACAAACATCAGGAAGGACAAAGGAAAGAGCAATTTAATGAAAAGAAAGTTTTTAGGAATTTTAAATTAGGGTTATGTTGTAAAAATAGCCAAAGATTTCATCATATAGCAAACAAGTTCAATTGGAATATGGATTGTGTCAAATTCAGGGCAATCCCAAAAGCAAAACACCAAAAAGACAGCTTGAACCAAGGATGGTGATTTACCTTCCTCTAAGACAATGTCCATAAACATAAAGCCAGAGCTACAGTGGAATAGTTAAGGTCAAACCATATTTATGTGTTGGCCCAGTCATAGTCAAGTCCCCAATCCAGTTGAAAATGTATGGCAAGTTTTGAAGACTTGTGTTAAGATATACTCGCCATCCATACAAACAGACAATAAAGCATATCTATACATTTACTTCTTTAACTATTTTGCAACATCTTTTTGTAGTTCTAATGTATTAGAAATAAAATATATTTGAATTACTAATGTAACAAAATGGGGTATTGAAAGAGTAATACAACTTCAATCCTGCTGAGATTTACCTTGAGTGCAAGAGATTTAGTTAATAGAATGTAGAAAGGGAACAAATGAAAAAAAAAATGCTATTAAAATGCTAGCTCTAACCTAAAAATATTACAAAGAATCTAATCCTTAACTCTCATGAAGGATACAGTCACATTTTTGGATTACTGCTAAAGTAGAACATTGCTGTCTGTATGACAACCAAGTATAAACCCCCTCTTGAAGAATTAGATCCCCTTTCTTCTGCCCTTTATTTAGTCTAATGACGCAACGACTAAAATGTTAATTACAGCTTTAAAGAGAGATGATTGTGGAGATGAAGTAGCAATTAGCATATATCATAGTCACTCTCATTACCACCATTAGCCACAGCAAAAATATGGAAAATTATTTAACAAATAGTGAGACCCTCATGATGTGCTTATTCAGAACACTATAAATGTTTCAGTGAGGGTGTTAGAGACATTTTTTCTTCTTTATATTTGCTACTGTATTGCCAGTTCAAGAGCAGTACAGTAAGCATATAGTGTGTTAAATGAAAAAGAAGCACTTATTTAGGGAGAACAACTAAATAAGAGTATGAGCTTATTTCATGTTTTCTAAAAGCATTGAGATAGAGACACTTAATTAAAAATAAGGACAAACCATAGCACATTTACAAGTTATTTCCACCTGAATCCTCCATAATTTTCTGTAATTGTTTTTTTCCTGTCCGTTACTCTGCTGATGACATTTAAAACCATTCTAAATTGCCAGTTCCATACTTGAGCAGAGTCTGAGAAATTCTCCTCATATTCCCAGGATGGGGTTATTATCCTCCTCTAAATCCATGGCTGAGCAAAATGCCTCCTCCATTTTCCCCTAATCTGACTAATGTACTAAAACATAAAAGGTCATTTCACATCCATACCACAGATCACATATGTGACTCTGAATTAATAGAGCTAATGATATCTTCATATACATTTTTTATCATATACAGTATTTTAAACCTCTATCACGATCTTCCTACCTGGCAGAGAGGAATTTAAATGTGACAATATAGAAAACAAAACTTTCAAAAAATGTATAAAACTGAAAGAAATTTAGTTCTTGTGCAAGTTACATCAGGATCCAGATTTCTTGCTTACCTTGCTGCACAAAAGACCCATAAACAAACCACATGGAATTGTACAGTGTGGTCGAAGACACAGGTCCCATGGGCAGCCGTGGTGGGTTGAGCCAGTTGAGCAAGTACACCAGGATGCCAATAAGGAGCACAGTGCCTGCAATGCACGCCCACAGTGACAGGTCGAAGGGTGCCAGGCAGGCAAACATGTCCACTGTGCGCTCGGCCTTGCGCAGCAGAACGCCCACAGAATAATCCATGTAGCGTGTGGTAAAGTCTACAACACTCTCCCGCTCAGGCGTGATAGTCAGAGCGGAGAGTCCGACATCAGCTCGCTGCAAGAGGCAGAAAGAAGAGAGGAAAGTGAGACAAATTTGTTCAGATCTGAAAGTCATTCCTTTTTAGGGAGAGTCTTTAAATACACAAGATATGCTTATTACAATGCTGCTATTGTAATAAAGTAAGGTTACCAAAATGGGAATTTTTAAAAGTGAAACATAGACTTCTTGTTTTTAGTATAAATTTGTACCAGAACCCTTGAATCTACAATGTGTTTGCCGTTATCCTGAATAACACTTTTTATGATGTTTTGTGTCAGCACAGTTGGTGTGCCAGATCACATCTTAAATGCATATCAGGATTTATGCTGAGATGGTTGTTTTGTTAGGGAGGAGATTGCAAAAGCCTTATCTTTCTTATCAGAACACTGTTTTGAGCATGCTTTTACCTTTAGCAACAAACGTGTTTGTCACAGCAACCCAGCAAAGATTTTTCATTCTGTTTAGTTATCGAACCTTTTCCATAAAAAAAGGAACAAAGCATAGATACTGAAAGGATATTGTATAATACTCTTAATATCTATTGATAATGCTAATGGATTTTAATCTCTTAAGATAACATTAGCCATCACTTGCTAAACATACAGCTGCTAGTCATAGAAACTGTATGTTTAGCATGAAGTCAATATAAAGAGGCCATATGCATCATTTATGCTGCTGAGCTTAGAGTTACTACCCAGACTCAGTCATTCTTCCATAAGTATGTTTATATCTCATGTGGGGTTACTCTAATTTTTTCTTTTTCATCATGGCTGCAGTGGACAGTAGTCAGTTCAACAAATATTTTGCAGCAAGGTGAACTGATAATAAATGTGAAATTTGTCAGAAATCTATACAAAATAATAAATAAATGCTGGTAAAAACTATAACAAAATTAGCTAGCACATAATTATTAATAAATTTGCTTAAGTGCCTACCAAAGCAATTTCTTTTTTTATTGTTTAATTTTCACTGTTTTGATTGAGAACCTTTTCTGAGGAGTACTAGACATATAAGATGACTAGAAGCAGAAGAAAAGTTAACTTAAAAAAGTTAAATCTTTGTAGACTATCCTTATAAGACTCCAACATTTGGTATGTTTATTAATTTATGCCAAAGCAACAGGGTTTTTTTTTCCTTTTGAGTACCTTAATTTCTTTCTATTTCTTGTAATTAAGATGAATGATGTTATAAAATTGATATAATGTTTGTTAATTAAAATTTTTAATCATCAGTGCTTCAAAAAAGCTAAAGACATCTGCTTAAGGATTCAAGATGCAGATGTGAGCATCTGTTTTTTCTCCCCCAAAAAAGAAATAGAAAAGATGATTTTCAACAAGACAACAACGACATTAAGTTGCTTGAAGCAACAGATCCTTAGATCAGAAGGTGTATTGTAAAAATAATGAAACACTTTTGAGACCAATTGCAGCCAAGTCTTTTCTTTTCAAACACACAAACAAAAACACAAAAAATCTACCTGATGCACAATAACCTGCTAATTGAATAGTTGAGTAATGGAGAAAAGACAAAATGCTTAACTTTGTAGAATTAGTCCTACAGTATAAGTTGTAGAAACAGCGCTTCAAAAGAAATCATGTACAATGCCCATTGGTAAACCAAAAATAAACAGTATCCAGGGAAACTGACTATGTGTGAGTAGGCATGAAATGCAGTGCAACTGTATGTGGTCAGTACACAATTAACAGAAAGCACTGTGGTTGATAATCATCAAATAGTTTTTTGGATAGATAAACACTGGCACTGGCTGATTGGGAAAACATATGTGTACATAAATATACATGGGCTTAAAGGCTTTCTCCAAATGTTACAAGGTATATTTGTGGAAGACACTTTTTTTCAGACTTTGACAAATTGCCCAAATCTGACACACAGTCAAAGAAACATATCAACATTTCAGAAGGACAAATATATAATGAGCTATTTATAACGATCAAACAGCATAGAACCCTATTAAAAGTCTACTAGAGTAAATAAGAGTAAAAAGAGCCCTTTTTCTGTGCATAAATATACTTCTTTTTGAATATGTGTAAATCCTCTTGGTATAGGTCATTTCATTAACAGTCTGTTGGCAGTAGTGTATTTCCAAAATATGTCACAAAGTTATTGAAATAATTTAGAGGAATGGCTTAAATAAACTTCCCATGTTGCCTCAATCAGTTCTGATGCAGTCAGAACTGCACAGCTAAGACATTTTTTATATTAACCAAGACTGGACTCTGTGACAATCCACACGTTTAAATAATGCTTTTTGGGCTGTGCTTTTGATTTTGTTTTCCAGCTATATTTACTTTGTCCTTCAAAGTAATTTTTTTGTAATAAATACAATGTAATGTGAATAAGTCTTGCACTTTTCAATCCCTTTTGTTATGTGGTTTTTATTAGATTACTTCATATTAGCTTTATTTTAAGTATATTAAATATTTTTTTCAGGTTAATATGTCAGATCAATATATCACTTAGCGAATAGTGATGCCCTGTGTGGGCAGCTCTTCTCATAGCCACGGCTATGTAACTTGAGAGGGTCGGATCCGTTAGTGAATGAGTCGTGACCCACAGCACTATTTTATAGCAGTCTCAGTTCCCCTTAACACAGAGCTAACTAAATTAAAAACTGTTGTTAGCCAACAAAACAGATTTTTTTTTTTGTAGGATTTTATTTAGAGTCTGAACATGACCTTGACTTTACAAATCTGGAAGTTAAAGGTTTAGCACCTTTAGTGGCTAGAAGAAAGCTGTAGAAGCCTAATATAAAAGTATCTTGGAATAATATGCCAAGATACTTTTAATATATGCTTTCTGAACAGTAATCTTAAATTAGACAGTAGTCCATTTCATAATTATTTAACTTTTTATATGCTCTCCGCTATTGCTGTGCATTGATGTTGATTAATTATTTTTTTTCAATTCTCTCTGTTTCATCTGTTTTTGTGACTGTTTTATAGATATTTCCTGATCTATATATACAGTACTCAATCACTTACTGCACAAATATGTTATTTTTTGGTGTTAAGACTTATTTTTTATTAGAATATGTGATTCAAAGCAAATAGTAGATAGTGAATACTTTTTCTTATTATTCTGCTTTTGTTCAACTGCAATAAAACACTCCCCAGCTATACATATATCCAGTCAGTGTATCAATTAAAGTGGTTGGGGATGGTGGGATTTTTCACAAGTACTGCAGGAGTGAGGAGTGACTAAGACAAACAGTGGGAGCTGCAGCAAGGTTAAGAAATTCAGCAAAAAGGATCAGAGCAGGATTACAAATATGGGCTGTGGTTAAGAAATACAGAAAACCAGTAAATCATGACTTTTTCTATCTCTGTCATCACCACAACCGACTGAGGTGTGGTTGTGGGACATGTTTGTAGCTTCAGGGTCTTCATATGCTGCCATTGTGACATATTATTTTGTACATGAAGTTTTGTTCACCTGTTTGCCTCTTAAAAGTCATCATATTTTTAATCCTCATCTACTTTGACTAAAGGAAGTGTGTGCATTACAATGATGGCTGAAGCTGTTGTGTTGTGCTTCTTTAAAGAAAACATACGGTAAATCCACACATGCAACCCTGCCTGTTATTGAACTCAGAAAGTTCTGTTGTTCTTTAACTGCACCAATCAAGAAGGAACTAACAACATTTAGAAAAATTGGGAAAAAAAAGAAGATAAAATACTTGAATTCTAATTGGCTCTGCTTAAGTGTCTGCCAATAATTAGAGATAAAAAAAACAAAACAAAGATCCCTGAGGGTAATGAAGTCAATGTTAAAAAAAACATTGAGTTACATCAGACATATCTTTTAGGTTTAGGTCTATTCTGTTCCACACAGGGACATCTTACAGAAGCAGTTTGTGAATGCCAGTCAGGCATAATTCTTAATAATAGATCATTTTCTTATTTAAATATTTGCTCTTGAAGCAACATGATTTCCATGGGACCTGTAATTATGGATAAACCTAAGGAGGACTGGTCCCATGAAGCAAGTCAAGCCAGGAACATGGGTCTACAGGCAAGAACTCTCTAGAAGGAAGATCCATTTTAATGCCTGACAGAAGTACTCACAGTCCTTTAACTTTTTATTTTTTAAGAAGTTATTATAACAGGACAACAAAGCTAAACATTTTAATTCTAGATAGAACACCATTAAACAGAGAAACACCTCTCTGGGAAGTTAAAACCTAACGGCACATGGTTTTCAAAATAGATTGATACATGGTTTTTAAAATTCCCTACTAAAAATCTGAAAAGTGGGAAGCATTTGTATTAAGATCTTATTACTTCAAGACAAGAGTTGAAGAAATGTTGTTCATAAATTATATAATAAAAATAAAGCATCCATTTTGACATAATGTTACCTTAATAACAAATCCAGCTGTTCCATAAGGACCTTAGGTATTAAATCATAAATAAATCTTTTCACATCTCAAAGAGGACTGTTTAGTTCTTTATTATCTCCACCAAGGATGTTATATTTTTTGGAGGGTTTATCTGTCTGTTATGAACTTATAAATGGATTTGATGGAATGTTTTTATTTAGCACAGGTGTCCCTCATGCCAAGGAACAATTCATTTAAATGTGTTAATTGGGTAATGTGCCAGTTTAAGCTAAATGTGTAACCCTCAATTGGGGATAAAATTAGCTGCTTGTCAGAGGTTTGCGTTTTAAATATACATTTCTAGTTCCTAAATGGAAAGAGTATGGCACAATATGAAACTTACCAAGGCATGACCTACCAACAGGCTAGATCTGGAGATAATTTATCAGAAGAGAAGCTTGGAGGGCCAGTGTAACTATGCAAACACCCTGAACCCACAAAGGCAAATCTTTCATGCACTTTACAAAACTGGCCTTTGTGAAAGGTTGGCAAGAAAAAAAATGCTTGAAAGAAAGCCAACAGAAGTCCTTTTTAAGAGTTTAAAGATTTAAAAAATCTATGAAGCAGACAAAGCATACATGTGGAAGATTTTATGGGCAGAAGAGGATACATTTTCATTTTATGACCAAAGTGGAGAACAATGCATGGAAAGAAAAACTAACAGTATCCCTATACTGAACACAGGACCCCTAAAGTTAATAATGATGGTAGCAACACTATTCTGTGAGGACTGTTTGTTCTAGCTGTTTTTTTCTAGAGATGCTATTCTATAGGTAAAAATGCGAAGAAATATCAATCATTTTTGTGCTTGAGTGGCTCAAAGTCCAGATTTAAGGATAACCAGGACAATACAAAAGTTGTACCTCCTCCATCCAAAACAACTGGTGAGTTATTTTACAATGAAGAATGTGTACTGATTTCAGTCTGTAGAATGCACTCACCTGGTAAGGATGTAATGTATATCAAAAGAGACTTGCAACTATAATCACAATGAAGTCTGGCTCCTAAAAACTATGCATTTGACACTTTACTTAATCTCACAAACTCACAAAAACAAATACATTTAAGCTTGTGGTTGTTACATGATAAAAAGGAAAAATGTTCAAGGGATATTAGTTTTTTTGCTGTTTATTTGAAAGTCATATAATTCTCAAACTACACTGTGTCTTGCAAACTGTGTATGTATTTGAATGAATATTAACCCTTGTGTTTATCTTTGTTAAGATTTCCTCCTTACCTTAGAAACCAGTTCCCCCATGAGACCATTCCACTGGCCCTCAGGTTGTAAACTGCCATATTTGTGGTCTGGAGCCACATAGATCTCATATTTAAAGCCCAGATAGTTGGAGAGAGCATCCAGGACATCAATTGAAAAGCCTTGATATTTCTTAGGTTTTCCAAGGACATTCTCTGAGACCATCACAAATGGCTCCTCCTGAAAGACAACAATTAACCAGTTAATAAGTAATTCAGAAACCCAATGAAACACACTAATCATTTTCTGGTAAACCCTCTATCACTGAAATCTAGACATGAAACACAACTCATGAAAACAATTAAACACCTCATAAGAAGATGTGAACACATACAATGCTTATGTTTTACACCCAGTGTTTTTTTTCTCAAACTTTTCTCTGTTGGGTTTTTTGTTTAAATTCTTGTGTATATAACACTTTCAATGAAATTATAAACATAAATATAGGTAATGTAAATTAGCATTTTACTGCTTGAATCAAATGCACAAGAAAGGATAAAAGAGAAAATGTTTTTCTTATTATATATAATATTAATGTAGTGTTCTATGGATTTTTTTTTTATTACCCTTGTATTTATTCAACACATTTCGATTGATGTGAGAATTGCTGAATGCCCATAAAGTGAATCTTGAGGTTTATAAGGGCCTGTGGGTTAATGACTGAATATTCTCTGCACACGTATACAAATACATCCAAATATCCTATGTCCTGCTTTCCTTACAGGGACATGCATCGACTTCCATGTATTTCACATTGATTTGTATGGCCTAACCCAGACCTGTACCCTAACCATTCAATACATACCTAATCCTAAACCTCACCTAAACTCAATTCACACCTTAGTCCTAAACCTAACTCCCAATTTAAGAGGAGAACTTCTCCTCAATGGTATCCAGTGGTACTGTAAGTTCCTACAATGTAGAATAATCCAGTGATATTGTCCCCACAAGGTAACAGATACTTGCCCATGCTCCCACACACGCATACGCACCTTCACTCCGTGGCATGGGCTAGCACAGAGGCCCGCCCTGGAGAGTCTTTGTTTTTTTAGTTGTTTGATTTTTCTAATCGGGATGTAAAACTTTCTATCGTTCCTCTATCATTCCTATCTATCTACAGAAAGAGGGGGCAGGTCACTAAGGCAGCTATGTTCAAAGTAGGTAGCCCTGCATGAATATGTGGATTTCTTTATAAAGGGCCAACAGAGCAAAGGAGAGTAAGCCTGAAGCAGAATTATTCATTTCTGTTTGAAAGCTAAGAACTGAAGTAACCAGTGAAATAAACATTAATGCTTGGCGTGTTAGCTACTGTAGTAAGGGGAACTTCATGCTGGTAACTCAGCCAGATGGAAGAAACGGCAGTGATGACATCACACTTACAACATGTAAGTTGTAAGTGTGAAACAACACACACAAAAAATGCACGTATAATAAATAGACATAACTTAATAACACATATAGAAAAATGAGAACTAGCATTCTTAGAGGAAATCTAAAGATGTAACACCTGATAATGATCTTTAGCCTGTAGTAGTTATATACAGTAAAGTACAACTTTGCTCAAAAAGGCTATGAAATGGGCTAGAGGTTTACTTGATTATTCAGGAGGAATGTTTGGTGTCTGCCAGCAGGGGGATGATTGCAGCTTTGGGGAAAAAATGCACTTGAATCTATTATTTTCTGATGTAATTTTCCTGAATTATTTTCCCAATTGAGACAAACAATTTAAACTCTTCTAGAATAAATGCTTACCTGAGGCACAGTGTTCAACATTTGTTAAGAAAATGTGCTTTTGTAATATAATTCAATTCAATTCAGTTTATTTATATAGCGCCAAATTCACAACACATGTCATCTCAAGGCACTTTACAGTTCAACCAGATCATACAGTCAAATTGATACAAAGTTTTCTATCTAAGGAAAACCAGTTGATTGCATCGACTCATTGACTCAAATACAATAGTTGTTGTGGGTTAGTACTTCCTGCAACAACAGGCAGATATGTTTTCAATTCACCTTGTAATTTCACAATCATATGCAAACTAGAAGTATTTTGACAATTTTTGAGCGGATGAGACACAGTCCGAACTTGAAAGTGTTCAAGAATCTGTGGAGTGAGCTCAAAATTAGGTCGTTGGCAAAGATGCCTTTCAACCCTTAAAAACCATGAGCCCACATTGAGAGATAAATCATGAAAAAGCAGCAGAAACATCCAACAAAGCTTTTCAACATCTATAAGAAGGGTTTTATTGTTACACTGATTCTACAAAAATGTAAGAAATATTTTTAAATGAACAATTTTTCATTTAACTTTTAAAAAATTGATATTTAAAACAAACTTATTTCAAAAAGAACATACATTTTTTTATAAACGTCATTGTCTTTTAAATATGTCTCTCTTATTGCTGTCACTAACAAACATTTGGTTAACCCTAATAAGAATAATTTGGGGCTAAAATGTAAATGATATGTAAACTGAATTATCCTTTTACTCTATAGACGGTGCCTCATGAAAATTCTATCAACTCCAAAACCAACCCTTCATTTCTTTTGTTAACATTTATTCAGTCATGGTCTGAAAACATCAGTGTACATCTGAAGGTAATTGAGGAAAATTGTGTGAATCAATTAAAGCAAAGGCTGATCGTACAAATCCATAGTAGACATACTGATTTCTAAGTAAGTTGTTATGGACAGAAACTGTGCTTTGCATGAAGATAAAACGAATTGTTGAAACATAGAAACGTAAGTGAAGCCAAACTGCTCATGAAAACAAAGGTTTCAGCACTGTTTAAAGACACTGATGTGGATTTTCTTTTTTAACAACAAGCAAGGCCTGAAGGACAATAATGCTCTCCAAAGACAACCCACAGTTTCAGTTTAATCTCTATATTTTGTGATATTGAAGGTTGCTGAGACAGACTTCTTTGCAGGTGTGCTCTAACAATAGTTGACACATTTTTTTCTTCTCTTTACCTGTAGACAATAACATGGACTTGTCAAACAGCTGTCAAGATAAATGCACCTGCTGCAGCCCGTCCAACTTATTTTGTTTGTTTTTGTTTAAATAAAATTCTTTGGAAAAAATGTGTTTTCTATTACAATAAGGGCAAATAAATCAAAGAAACAACTCCTCAGTTCCAGGAAATTATAAATACTATCAGAATCAGAAATACTTTAAGTTTTATATATATATATATATATATATATATATATATATATATATATATATATATATATGTGCATATGTATAACTATGAATCCAAGTAAAATGATAGTGACGTGCAAAAATTGTGCATGGGATGAATAAATGTCAATTTCAGAGGGAGGGGTGTCTGAATCACTTGAGGGAGGCATTGTAGAGATTGATGACCACAGGCAGGAATGATTTCCTGTGGCGCTCTATGGTGCATCTGGGTAAGAGGAGTCTTCTGCTGAAGGAGCTTGTCTACTGGACCAGTGTGTCATGGAGAGGATGTGAGCCATTGTCCAAGATGGACTGAAGCCTAGACAGCTAAGTAATAGCTAAGCTAAGTAATAGCACTCTTACCGAAAATACAACATGAAATAAATCCTTCCAAAAAAAATATGAGTTTTCTATTTCTTTTTTTAATTCTAGTTTAGTTTAGTTAATTAATTTTCACAGCATACAAGGCTAGAAAAAAAATGTGAAAAGCATATAATCAACATATAGCTCTGATAGCATGGTAGAAACCTGCTTTGTAAATCGAACCAATAAAATACAAAAAATAGGTAAACCAAACACTAACAATATAACAGTATAATATCAATTAAAGAAAACTTAGAAAACATGTTCAAAAACCGTAATATAATGAAAGTGTTTTTCATATTTTTTTTCAATATAGAAAATGAGAAAGGGTTCTATAAGATATACAAAGTCGTTCCAGGGAAGATTTCCTAGATATTTACCAAGAATTTCACAGCATAATATTCTATACAATGGTAGTTGCAGCCAATGTGCCTACTTTAAGCGAACAGCTCATTGTCTGACACATCATAGCCTGCATGGAGCCAAACAATGGTGGTATGTTTATTAACTGCTGGTTTTCCCTCTTGTCTCTCTCTATTTGTGTTCTAATGATTGTTGTTATTAATGACGGGGCATCACCTATAGTTAAAATGAAATACATCGAAGTTAGAGATTTTTAGGGTAACAAAACACAAAAATGGCTGAGTGATATAAATCATTTACGAGTCACTGTAATATTACAGTGACAGACCACTTGGATAAAACCAATTTGATTACCTTGGTGATTCAATCAATTCAAAGCAATCACCTCCACTTGTAAACAGATTTTTAAAAAGGGCAAGAATGACCAGTTGTAAAAACTTATCACTTGAACAGAAACTTTAAAGATTTCTGTTAGACACTGTTGTAATGAAAAAAACAGAACAGTTTTGTCAACAAAATATTTTGATAATAGCAATCCAAGGATATGCAGAATAGCACTTGTTAATGGATGAGCCATCAAACTGTTCCACAGATGGGCAGACAGCAGCAGACCACAACGGATGCCACTGGTGTTGGTTAAAATGAGAAAACTTAGGCTAGATTTAGCATGGGCCCACCAAGATTGGACAATAACAGATTGTGAAGCTACTGCTTCATCTGTTGAAGGTTAACCTAGGCTGCAACTTTGGATGCTGCATTCAAAAATACAACCATAAAAGATTTTTCAGTCTCTAAATAGAATATAGGGTGCTGCTGATAAGAAAGACTGATTATTTTCAAAACTTAACATAGTGTAAACACTACAGCTTAGTCAAGGTTTTTCGCTGCCAACCTGTATTCATTTATGACCACACTGCATCCATCGCTTGATTGTTACTCCCAACAAGACACTGCACCATAGCTTAGATGTGACCTCTGAACCCAGTGGCACAGCACACATCTACAGCATCAAATGTATGATGCTATTGTGGTAGTTGTGGACCAGCAACTCTAAAGAATGTTTAAAAAATGTTTAATGTATTACATAAAGAAATAAAGCAATTCCAAAGACTAATATGGATGTACATGATAGCTGGTTAGTGAGTAAAATGGAGCCTAGACGGAAATTCAACTGAAGAAACTAATTGTTCCACCTGCGACACAGCCATAGCTTTGAACCACACCTCCACGAAAGCCAATCCGCATCCAAAGCTCATCTTAAAAGGCCTCCGATCTGCACCTGTCAGCCCCTGTGCGCAGGCGGTGGATGTGCTGTGACTTCATTCAGAGGACACCCTTTCAACCCACCTCCAGCCCCTCCTCCACCTGCGTAGCTAAAGCTTCATCAGAGTGTGATTTCTCCCAGACTCTTACGGCATTCCCTGTCTCATCTTAACCGGTCAGAAGACCGCCATGTTGAGCCTGCTTCTGCCAGAGGTTTCCTCCCAATGGGGAGTTTTTCCTCTCCACAGTCGCTCCAAGCTTGATCATCATGGACAGGTTCTCTCAACCTATGTTATCCAACTGGACTTCCATCTTCCAGGTCCCTGAGTGAAGCTCTAGTATCAGCTCACGCAGTCCACTGGATCTCCCTATAAAGCTCAGCAGACCCTCTCGCTAACCAGCAGTCTACAGACTGACCAACTTCATCCATCTCCACTCCACCACCAGTTTCAGGCCAGGGGGGGAAACAGCCCTATTCTTTGCTCCTGTTCATGCACATCTATCAAATTTAAGTGCTATGTTTCCTGCCGAGGTCTGAGCGCCAAAGACAAAGTAATTGTATCGATAAATTTCTCCTAATTGCCTTTTCTCTTTGTGTGAGTTTTTCAGATTGAAATAAGTCTAACTTTTGAAAGGCCATGGGTGACAAATTATTTCAAACATCATCTTTTAGTTCACATTTTAGATTAAATTAAACTAGAATTTTTATTTTTTTTATTTTACACCACTGTCCTTTTTTACTTATACATAGTTATTTTGAAGCCTCTGTTTATACCTGCATTACTTTCTCTGCTTTAACCAATCGTTGCACTACTCTATGCTTCTATATTACATAATATTCTGTAATTTTTGGTAATTGTGAAATTGGCCCCCACCTCATATTTCCATCTACCCTGATAAAATTCCCCTGCACTTTCTTTGGCACAGGTTAATTCTGCCCCCTCTTGAAGGATGTACCACATGTGGTCTCGTTGCTGGGTCTGTGTTTCTGGAGGAATGAACCAGGGGGAAGGAACTGCAATTTCCCTTAAAAATAAAGTAATGACATTTCAAAAAGCCCACAGAAGGGATGCTGGGACTTACAGAGTTGTGGTGATTTCACAGAACGGTGAACCATTTCAAAACGCTGTGGCTTTGTATGTCAAACTTATTTTAAAACATAGTTTGAAAAATGTCCTTGCAGATTTATGCATAAGACCAGATTTTCTATTGTAATGAAAACAAGATTAAGTTGCTGTTGCTCTATCCAAAAAATGAAAAATATGACCCCAAAAAGCATTTGAGTGTGCGTTTGTATTGTGACTCAAAAGCACACTCAAATATATGCTGATCAATGCATAAGACAAGAGACTTTAATCCTCTGTATATTAAAAGGAGATCAAAACCTTCTAGATACTGGACATGACTAATAGAACAGTGTCCTTCAGCACAGTGTCCTTCAGCAGTACAATTACCCACATTTAGAAAAAATATAATATTTTGAACAAATATCCCAGGTATGACAATTTTGACAAGGTTTCAGGTTGAGGAAAAAAAAAAATCTCTGTTGTCTAAACTTCGGTCATGGAGCCTAGGCGAATATTGAACCTGAAAGACACTTTCAAGCTTTACCTGCATCTGTCGACTGGCATGTCATGTGGATCTGCCTGTAATAAATCTTGAAAATTACATTTTATTTTTCATGAGCCCATATATTGTTATAAAAGGTAGCCCTAAGCTACATTAAAAATGCAACATGAGGGTAACACTACACAGCAACAGAAGAAAGACTAGTGAATTGAGGACTATCAAAATAAAGAATATATATTCAAAGAGTAGAACTTTAACAAATACCAAGAGTTTATCCCACTTCAATGTATCCTAATAAATAAACTCTTGTTCTTTTGTTAAAATACAAAGTTACAACAAATTTGCTCGATGTTTACAGCTGTTACATGTTTTGGTCAGATTTGTGAATTTCTCTAAGCACTAACAGAGACCCCACAAATAATTACTGAGACACAGCCTTTCCAGTAAAATACTGATTGATTAATACAGGGCCAGATAATCAATAGCAAAGATTTAAAGTCAACGTCTCTAAGTGGGCCATGATCTACTTAGCAATTTCCGCTCAATAACTATTCAACACTGTTTGATAATGGAAAAACTGAACCTGTTGTTCTGTGAGCCTGCCTTGGTGTGTGCATGTGTGTGTTTAGAGGGGTTTGGGGTGTAGGGACATGTGAGCAAAAAGTGCCAATAGTTTTCTGTGTTTTGCACAATAAGAAATATCGATGGCTCATCTAAGAAATGCTGTGCCTCACAGTGATGTTAGGAGAAAAAACATTCAGAAGCAAAACAGAAAAAATCTATTTTATGAACCTTTAAAAAATCTAGATTAAACATACGCAAACATCCACCCACTCACACAGTTACTTAACCTGAGCAATAACAAATGAAGTCTGAAGCACAGGTGCAACATATCATTTAAATGTGCACAAACAGTCTTCTTTTAGGCTATTACCAGACAGCATCACCCTTTTCTAGAGAACCATAGGTTGATAGTTAAAAAACACAATCATATTCTTATTCTTTTTCAGGGATACGGAAATCAAGGACTTCAAAATGAACTAAACAGGAAAAAGAGGTGTCGGGATTTTTCCCTCTGTCTCAGACTTCATAGACAGGTTATTCATAAATTCATAACACTAAAACCTTTAAGCACTCATAGGATTTAATCCAATTAATCCTGCAGGTCAGATATAGTAGAATAAGCTGATAAGCAGGAGCATTAACACTGCAAGACTCCAATGGTCTTGGTCATTTTCTGTCAAATTAATGAATAATATATATATGGAAAAACTGCCAACAGTTTGACCTATCATTCTTCTCTGTGAAATTTGTTTGTATTTATTCTTTTCCTCACATTTGCTCTTAACATGTTTTTCTTTAGCTCTTCAGAGACAGTGTTGGTGGATCGAGATAAAGCTACAACTTAAAACGAAAGCATAACAGAGTAAAATTATGTCTGACACAATTGCATAGATCAAAATAGTCCATTTTCATTATTCTGAGTGAAAAACAGCTCTTTTTAGGAGAAACTGATTGTGTGTGTGCCTGTGAGTGTTGGAGGATGTGTGTATCAGGCTTTTAGCTAGGAATATTTCATAGGGTTTACACACCTCGGTGTATCACATCTTTAGACTTTGCACAGCCATCTTGGGGTATCCTCCCCTGCAAAAATGTAGACTATTTGAAACGCTTTTTTCCTGCATTTTGAGCTTGAATGCAGCTAACTTTTTGTTTTTGTTACAATACTACTTTCATGTTGATTATGGGAAGTATGTGTGCTTGACTAGAGGTGGAAATTTCATAAGGAAGACATGAGATAATTTTTAGGTACAATATAATGTTTCATAGGTCAATTTCAACAATCGGGAAGTATAATGCTACATTCATACCGCAATTAGAGCAGCAAAAAGGTGCCTGCAGGTTAATTTTCAACCTTGTACACAAAGGTCAGACGTGTCTCAAGATCATCTTTGATGCTCCTTAGTGTCCTAAGTGTGTCCAGGTAAATCTGCTGCTTCTGCTGCTCCTGTGTTCAATGTCAGAGAGTGGCTTTGCTATATTTGCTGTCATCAGTAGGTAAAAAGTCATTTTCATATATTTTTATATAACAAGGTCCATCTCAAAACATTGTCGGTGCAGTCAGTTCATCAAGATGATTGTGATCCTGCCCTAAAATATTATTTCGCTGTTGGAGCTGCTCAGACCCCCGAATACTGGTGGTGCGCTGTCACTGGGAATCCCCAGCAACAGCTGTCTTAGACCCGTTCAACTTTGGAGATTTGTTGTTGTTTGTGTTGTTCAGGTTTGTGTTTCAAACTGCAACCACCAGAATAATAAAAGGGAACATATTTTACTGGCAGGTTTAGACCCTTTAAGTAACTGATCATACTGTAGCTTTCCGCATCAGCAGTGCTGTGTTTGTCTCACTGCCAGCTCGCAGATCAGCTTCTCTGATTGGTTGATGTGGTGCGTCGAGCAGCAAAAATTAAATTTTTCCAACTCCAGCATCTGTTGCTTGTAAAATTTTTAACATTTGATCAAGGTTTCAGGGGGAAAAGGAGGGCGTGCCAAAGCTGTACATCAAAAATGGGGTGTTCAATTGTCATTTTTTTAATAAAGGGCGTACAATGTGTGCCTGTATGCATTGATGGATAAAAGCCTGGTCAGTATGTGTGTCGATACACTCATAACCTGCTTACCAGAACAGTGACGACTCTTAGCACTACTCCTCTCATGTTGTTTTCCAGTTTCCTATCAGTCAAAGTACCATTCAGTCCATGAACTGGGTCCCATGTGGCGAGCTGCAAAGTACAGGAAAAAGGAGAAACATTAAATTTCTAATCTTAAAAATACCAACAAATCTAGGAATATATTAGATTGCTTTTTAGTAGTGAAACATGCTCGGATGTATATTTTGGTGCCTCAAGAGTGTGATTCTACCCATTTTTGGGGAATTTGACCCATAATGTGCACCTGAGTGACACTTTGATAGTGTCTATTTTTTTCCTCAGCTTAGCAAGAATGCAATCCATTCCCTTATTTAATTCCCTAGCTCAAGTAAGATATACAGATTGATTTTGCAAAAAAAAAACAAAAAAAAGCATTAGAATCTATGTGAATTGAGTTGTTTTGTTACAGTATAATGAAAGAGATGGGGTATATAAAATTATACAGACATTAACACGGTCTGGTAACAGACATTTTGAAATAACTCACTGGCTGTAATTTCGGTTGATACCGACAGTTTTGTTTGAATCCCCCCCCCACCACTCAACAAAAAGGGGGAAAAAAAAAACATTTTGTACACAGAACATTGGTGTAATTATGTAGCTTCCAGAGCTAATGCAATTGCCAAGCTTAAATAATACTTTTTATTATTTATAAACGCATTTTTAACAGGCTTGCAATCTTTTTAGTCATTGCAGAAACATGGAAACTATTTCCATTTCTTAAGTAGTTTACAGCCAGAAGGTAACGGACATCCTGAACAGGTCAGCAGTTCATTACAGAGGAAAAAAGGCAGACATTTTCAAAAAGACATTCACACAGGTGGTAACATTTTTTTGTTTACTTTATATTTTACAGACCCATGCAATAAATTAATCTTATCTCTTATCTCTCAAATCAATGCTATACTGTATGTATATGGCTGTCTTAGTTAAGAAAATAGTTTGCAAATTTGTTGTTTAAAATTTTTTAGTATTACCTAAAACCAGTCCACACAAAAAAAATTGTGTTTCTTCTATTTTACAAGATATTCTGTAAAAAAAAAAAAAAAAAAAGTTTAGAATGAAACTTGTTACTGTTTCTATATTATAAAAAGCAAGATACATATCCCAACACTATGATAAAAAATGTAATGCGAGAATTTAAACCATTACCATCAGAGTAATGTTATTGTTGATTGGACTTGGTCAAAAGAATGGTTTTCAGAAATTTTAGAAGGTGCTGCAAGGTTCTGACCCAGACTTCTATGTCTATCAAATTGCATCATAAACGTCCAGTCTTTTCCCCAGGACCACATTATATAATCTCTGTACAGCCTACGCTTTCAATAAAATATTATTTTTAGCTTCAAAGATCAAAGCAGACTGGGTTCCCTGTGGACAGTGAGCCAGTAGGAAAGAAATAAGTGATTTAGCCGTCTGCTATTCAAAGACAAACACACAGCTACATAAACACACTGGGATGCACACACAGAATTAAACAGTGTGGTTTCTGCTTAAAACACACAGAAACTGGGGGAGGGAAATGTCAGATAATCTATTTTTCAAAAGGCTAAAGTTACTGTTGGTTCTGAGATTAAAGTCACGTCTTATCAATTCACTTTTGGGACAAATACTTATGGTAATGATATGAAATGGTTACTTTTTTATGAAGCTGTATTTGGTTAAAATGTTATTGCATTTTATAAGCATTTCTCCTGGAAAATAAGTTAACAGTAGGTGGCTGGCCCCCAAGCAGGAATATGTTGGTAGAGACGTGGAGCTCCACAAAGAAGGATCAGGTTTTTTCAACAAAAGCCAGGATATTAGGAGAGTAGAAGTTTTGCTGTGGGTCACAGAGAGAAGGCAAATGCATTCAATCTTTATTCTAATGGGAGAGTGTGCAAAGACCACAATCCATCGGTAGTGTCTCTAGGGATTTAGGGTATAAAAACCATTGGCATTCTTTCGGTATTTTTTGAAATACTGAAAGAATGGCATCTTATTTCATAGTATAATATAGTAATTCTACACATTTTCTGTAGTTTTAAGTTTTTTTCGGCTAATGATTCTTATTTGCAGCAACCTTTGTTTTAATGAAAATATTTTCTTCTGATCAGGTTGTTTGGTGAAAAGAGTTGCTATATTTAATAACTAATGTTTAGAGCCACTGATTAAATACGTGAAACAGGGTACTGTATCTGGAGCAAAGGATTAGTAGAAGTAAGTAAGGTGAAATAGAGGTTTGGAAACATGTTATTTGACAGAAAACTGTAAGTAATCCCTCACAGCGATTTTGTGTTAAAGCCAAATAAACTTTTTTGTGGTTTGTGATACAGCTCCATGTAAAAATGTTTAACTGGTACAAATACTTTTAAATGGGACTGTAGTTCCAACCTTAAGCATATTAAGCTTATTATACTTTTTAGGAAAGTATTTACTTTTAGTAATTTTTTTATTTTAGTTTTTTTTTTTTTAACTCTTCTATTATATTTTATACCTTCCAGGGTAGCATCATATCTGGAAATGTTCTATTTTTGTAATTTCTAGCTACAGGAAATTGTCTTCTGTAAGTAATCTATATGTATACATAATCTGAATTATAACACATGCTATTATTGTTTCAGCCTGGAGGTGGAGATGTGGTGCTTGCATGTGAGCCTGAGTTTTATCCCATAACATAGAAGAATTGTTGTGATCTATCTGTTGATTGGCTAACTTTTATTTCAAATACAAAAAGAAAAAAAAGAAAAACACAACCTAAGGGTTTGTCCCACACACAATCTCAAGGTCACTACTACCTTCAGTTTTTTTTTGCATAGATGTAAATAGACATTTTCTAAATAGATATTTCTAATGGGCATACTGTATCTGGAGGAGCAGGTTATCATAGAAGGCAGAATGTATCAGAATCCAAATACTGAAGAAACACATAAAGCAGAAAAAGATGAATATAGAGATAAAGATCACAGAATTTACATAATACAGTTTATTAAATTAATGAGGTGGTGAATGAAGGTTGACCAAAGATGTGAGCAAACTTAAACTGCTGGTAAATGTAGTGTAAATGTGACTATACAATCAGTAAAGTCGGTGTGATTTTGTGACAAATTTATTTTATATCTAAAAGTGTGGTGGATAGATAAAGCCTCAGGAAGCCAAATGAGACTAGATAATCTTTTTTTAGTCTGTAGCTTTGGCCTTAAAAATAAAAATAAGGAGCAGCAAAAGGGAAATAAGTGAAAGTTAACTTTCAACCCTGAACTAACACTGACATGCAAATAGCTGTTAACCGAGCCCTATCTTGTACATTTAGGTAAACACAGTTAAAACGAAAGTTCTAGTGTTAAGTAGAATTGAGGAAGAAGAAGAAAAAAAACAAAGTAATGGTGATTTTTTTTAGCTTGTTTTTTTTTCCTGCCTGAAATTAATGCACTTAAAGGTATAGGGGGAGGATGTTCTCTCTCGATTGGATGATCAAACTAAGTGGTGCTCCTAATTATGAATCATTCTGGTGATATGTTTATGTAAGGCAGCTATCTTTTTCTGCGCATGCGCACTTTTAGGTGAGTATGTGTGGTGAGCTACCGTTTCAGCCAATCATTGAAGCTCACCTTTCTCACTGTGGTTCTTTGAAAATAGCCGTGGATCGTAAGAGTGGAAAAACTGCAAATCTTCCTATGGAAAGTAAGCTTGTATGAGCGATACAAACAGTAACTTTTAAAGAGAGCGTGCACAAGGAGAAATGGGCTTGTGCATGCTCTCGCACGCTTTAATAGGTGTTCCCTCCTGGGAGCGGGTACAGGGTTTTGCATGTGCATTTTTTTTTAAGTGGAGAGGGTGGGTCTTTTCAAAAATCCGCCACTATGTCTTCAATTAGGTCCCTTCTGGTGCTTCATTCACACACAACCTCTGTCAATGCATCATCCATTGTTCTTCTGCTCTATTTTGGTAAAATGTTTGTTATTAACAAAAATGCTGACAACACAACCTCCTTGGCGGAGGCAATAATCAAAGGACGTAAGTATTTATATTAACATTATAGTTACAGGAAGGATTTTCTGTAGTTTTTTTTGTCTTGCACAGGTTCTGGAGAAGCCTCTTACTCAAGACACCCTGCTGTTGTTTAACAATCTTCTAAATTATCTTTTTATATGTTCTTGTTTGTGCATTTGATGCTTTACGTTTGTGTGTCTGTGACTCTCCGTGTGCAGGATAACTTCAAATGTTATGAACGGATTTTATATTTTTTTTTTTTTTACATAAGGTGCACCTCAGTCTAAGGAACAATCCATTAAATTTTGGTGATGATCCGGTCACCATCTGGATCCAGGAATCTTTTAAAAGATTATGTGAATACAGGTATTAACTTAAGGTGGAGGTCATAATATGTCAGTGGAAATGAGCGACTTGGTGGAGGTCTGGGCTCTCCAAGTGCTTTTCTAGTTTATCTCATTTTCTTAGCTGATGACAGGCAAAAAAGAATAGCTTTTTTGGCAATTTAAAGACACGAAAATATAAAATTATTTTGAGCAATGTAGATTGATAAATGTAGATCTAACCAGGTAATTGGCACTACCGCCTCATATTGCTCAGTTCATGACTTTAGACTCTTTCATAGTTTCTTTCCTGCTGAATCCTTTTTCATAAGCAACTTTCATGTGTCTGAACTGACCAGACAAAAGCACCTTTGAACTTGCATGTTACCAAATCACTGTAGTATAGTAAATGGCCTGTGTTCATATTTTGCCTTTTTAAGTCAGGGGACTTCAAAGCACTTTACACTACATTCAGTCATTCACTCATTTATGCACACACTCACACACTGATAATAAATCAGACAAACATCTCATTACTAGCCATAAAAATACAAATAAAAAGTCCCCAGTTGATTCTTAAACCCCTTTCTTTGGATAAACCCTTTGTTGACACTGTAGGCAGCGCTTTAAAAGGAGTTTCCTTTCTTAACGCCTCTCTCTTTCTCATGCTGCAGCTACCTCATGTTCTCTTTTGTTGTTCTGTTTTTCCTTTTCTTACCTGGGCACAGTAAATGTTGACAACAATACTAATGTTTTCTATAGGACTAACCAAACTTT